TTGTACATTATACCTGGTAGTTTTTGTCGTTGAGATTGTCGACTGTTTGTTCCTAATAAAGTTTTTTAAAAAAACTTCGGGCTGCTGCGGCTTGACGCGCTCCTCTTTGATTTGACGGCGGTAATGTAAAAACTTCCTGGTTTATCGCGTGCGTCTTCTGTCATTGTTTTGATTCCGCAGCATTCATAGACATCATACAATTCACACGAGTCACAGTTTATTAAACACTGAAATTACTTGTCTTTTGTTTTGGAGCATTTTTGGTTGATTGTTCAAAGCAGCCGCTTTATTAGCATGCTGGCTAATGTTTGCTAACACGATGGGTACGTCCTGAACCTACGCGGTGGTTTTGAGGCAAATTTCTTCGTGTAGTCGCTTCACGTTGCGCTGGAACGATTATATATGGAGAACACGGCGCAGGRTCATAAGTCTTCTGTGGGACCGAGCAGAGGAGAGGATGAAGCCAGAAACAGGTAGGAAGAGCATCTGTCTTTAAATGTGATGAAACTGCCTCAGTCTGACCTGTGTGTCTGCTCAGTGACTCCGGGGACAGCGTCTTCTTCTCCCAGAAACCCCTGCCTGAAGCGGTGCTGTCAGGAGATCTGAGGCTGCCCCGCTTAAGATCACCCTTCACCCAAGAAGGACCACCAGAACCCGAGGATGACATACTTTCATCATCATCTTCTGAAGATGAATCCAGGACAAAAAAGAAGAAAAGAAGAAGAAGGGTCCTCAAAGTGCCTTCATGCAGGTTCTCCTTCCTGTCTGAGAGGAAGGATCAAAMTAATGGTTTACTTCGCGTTAAGATCAAAAAACTTCATGTAAGATTATACAAACCTAAAAACTTATTTTTCCACTTTGCACAAACAAACACCTGCAAATGATGCAAATGTGTTAAATGTATTTTCAGAGTTATACGATCGGAGGATATATGAAACATGTAAAAGAGCTGTGGGAGTGCTACGAACGAGGAGAAGATGTGGCAGCATCTTTACCAACTRTTGATGTGGAGGCAGAGGAGCTCTCTCCAGTGTCAGAGTAGGTTTCAAAATAGCCCACATTTAACTCATTCAAGGCTTTTATTTTGTAAAAATATCGCTCAACGTTTGGTGTGTATGAGGGCTTTTCACCTGGATATAGCGTTTTTAAAACAAGATAGCGCCACATAAAATGTCTTTGAGCAAACCAGAAGGMTTGAATTAAAACAGAAATAAATAAATCATTGGAAAGTTTTTAATTCAAACCCTAAACTTACATATGACTATATATATGGACAAGAATCTCTTCATTTGCTAATGTTTTGTGTAATTCATGGTTGAAATTATTTAAAGGCAAGCACATTAAATTTCTTTATAATAAAATAAATGATCCATGTGAATCTAAAACAATAAAAGAAACCCTAACAGATAGAACGTCTGTTTAATACAGATTATAATTGGATTTTTAGAGGAAGATAAAYAGACTGTTGCTTCTATAGGTGGTCATTTTAAATTAAAAACAAGGTTTTTGTGTTTTAATCAGCTCTGGTGAATTTCATTTTTTAAAACTATTTAATCACGTAGTTAGACTCTGAAAAAGGATGTTCATGGAATTGAAATTGTTATAAATTTAAAGTGCTTCTGCTTTGTTGTAGAGATGAAAAAGACGAAGCAATAGAGGACGAGGACATCAAAGTGGTGGTAAGCTGGCTGTTATAGTTATAGACCCCCTTCACAACAGATGATGACCTCGTAACAATAAAATATAAAAAAATAAAATAATCAACTAGAACCTGGGTGGTTTCTGCAGGGATTGATGAGATTTTTATTTGTTTATTAAGGACATAATGTGATAAAACCTAACAGATCTTGAAGGGTTTATCATCACCATTGCAAGAAATTGATTTAGCTGATTTTGAAAAATATGTAAAATAAAAGGACTCAGACACAGTCTTCCAACAACAAATTCAACTCAAACCATAGGTTGGCTCAGTCACATTTTTCTGACGTGACTCTAAAGACAACAGGTCAGCCAACACATGAACAGACATATCTAATATTAATTCTAGTTCCAGACAGACGTAAGGATTTTTTAGGCTATGAAGTGTTCCCTCTTGTGGAGAAACAAATGATTTTATGGACAAATGCTTGTTGCCTRTGGAGGATCAAAGCTGACGTAATTAAAAATAAAAACAGACAAATAAAAATGGCTCAAAAATAAATAAAAACACTTAAAAGGCACAGATTAAATTTAAAAAGTAGAACTTCACCTCTTGTTTTATAATTTAATTGACCTTCATATTTATTTTTCCAGCTTGGCTCCAATAAATTATATATTTTAGCACATAAAAGTAAAAACAGGAGACAGAAATGTAAAAACAACACATGGGAATAAAAAGACTTGTGAAAAAAAACTAAAAAGAAATTCAGCTACAAGTAAAATGAAAAACAAAAAATATATTTTTCAAAACAGTCAAATTTTAATTATGTGCTAAAATGTAAAATTTGTTGGAGCTAAGCTGGGAAAGTAAACATGAAGGTCAATTAAAGTATAAAACATGAGGTAAAATACTCTTTTTTTTAATTAATTGGTACATCTTCAGTGTTTTTAGTTATTTATTGGTCCATTTATATATTTCTACTCTTATCTTTATTTATGTCAGTTTTGGTCCTCCATAGCTTGGTGTGTTTGTGGCGGAGGAGCAGCATGAGCCTCTGAACGTTGCTGAAAAATGATCTGCTCCCAGTCAGAGCAGAAGATGCAGTGGGAGAAAATATGATTTGTTCACTGTGACACAAGATTTCAATAATACACAAGAAAAWACTTACTAGTGAAAAATAACTCAAATTTTACTCCTGTTTATGATACAACACCCCAGCTTTATGATGATTTTTTTGGGGGGGTTAAAAGGTTTGCATTATACACACAGTGGTACAGTTCAACCATACAGAAAACATGCTAATAAGTCGGCTACACATTTTACCACAGCAACATTTAAACTTTCAAAAGCATATTTTTCTCAGGAAACCTTCAATACTGTTTAATACCATTCATCTTTTACCTGCAGTTAACCCTACCTCTACAGAATCAGACACCGGGATGGTTCTCCAGGTTGTTTTCAGCACAGCGCCTGATAGCAAAAACCTTAAAAACTGATGTCTGTTTCAGCCATTCTAGTTTAATTTATAGTTAGAAAGTGGGAACCATGTTCACAGGTGAGCTACATGTTTATAACCAGAAGCATAATTAGCTTCAACACTTTCACTCCTGCAGTCTTTCTTTGTTAGGGAGATGTCAGGATCAGTTTGTAATAAACTGATTATAATTTACCTCAAGTTTTCATCACAGCCATTACCYGTAAACCAAAGCAGGGAGCAGGAAAATAACCGAAACTAGAAGCACTTAACTAAGATCCTGGCAGTGTTTCCTCTAACATGGAGGTATATAGAAGAGCTGGAGTGAGTCTAAACCATGTGACTGTGTGAAGTACTGTWGAAGCTAYGGCGCTAAGCAGAACAGGCAAGAGTCTGGATTTACCATTACTGTACATGTTGATAACATGAGAGGTGAAGGTTCAAAAATAGTAATATAAGAAACTTAAAGAGTTCCATCTTATCATGTGTGGCGAGTGTAGCAGGGGGACGTCGTTCTGTGTGAAGGTGGGCTTTAACCTTTGTGTCATCTCACAGGAAAGAAAACACTTCGCAGCGTCAATAAAAGCTAAGACCTCACAGCCGTGGTGCGCTTCGAAGGCGAGGTCCGGCAGGAAAAGAAACCTGACTCCTGCTTTAAACGGGTCACCAGAACCACAACAGAAGAYGCCAGCTGAAGTCTCGACGTCGGAGCCCGCCTTGAAAGAGACCCCCTCCGCAGTCACGCAGACGTCCCATGATGAAGACACTCCCCGYGGAGAGACGAGGTCACGGGTGACGTGTGATGGGAAGACAGGAGAACGWCCTAAAGAAAAGAACCGGAGAGATGAGAAAAGTGAGACGCTGGGACCAGAAGGTCACACACAGGGGGACGAAGACCCTCGCTCCCAGGGCCTCCATTTGAACGAGCGAAGCCCTTTAGGAAATGCCGAATGTGAAAATGGAAATGTCTCTCAGAGTGATGTTAATGATGCACTCCTAAAGAAGAGGAGGATGAAGAAAGAGGGCAGAGACGTTTGTGAAGGTGTAGAAAAGGAGAAGAAACAAGACGGGACAGAAGGTCAGCTTGAAGAGGAGCTTCTCAGTCCGTTGGAGGACATCAACATGAAAGACGTTCCCGAATCAAAACCAAAGAAGAAGAAGAAAAAAGCTGCACCAGAGGCTGGCAGACAGGACGATGGGTCAGTGGAGCAGGCTTCTGTAGCGAGCAGTAAAACACAAGCTGATTGGAAGAAACAGGAAAACAGTAAGGATGTGGATGGTGGAAGGACCGACCCAGCTGCTGAACCTCCGACTGACGAGGCCAACGTACAGAAGACCAAAGATAAGAAGCAAAAAGACCCGAATGTGATGTCAGGTCTCTGTGAAAATCCAACTGAACATCATGTTGAAAACACCGAAGCCCCTCAGGAAACTCCTAGTTCCCTCCTCAGGGAGCCGAAGTTCACTAAAAGAAAAGACAAGAAGATGAAACATTCTGCTCCTGCTGGTGAAGATGTGAACTTTTCCAACGACAATGCAACAAATACAGATTCAACAAGTCAGATGAAGATGGATACATCAGACGCTGCGGAGGACGATGAAAAAGTCGTTAATAAACAAAAAGAGGAGCAAGCTCCTGAACTAAAGACCAAGAAGAAGAAGAAGAAGAAGAAGAAAGCTGCACCAGAAGATGGCAGACTGGACGATGGGTCAGTGGAGCARGCTTCTGTAGCGAACAGTAAAACACAAGCTGATTGGAAGAAACAGGAAAACCGTATAGATGTGGACGGTGGAAGGACCGACCCAGCTGCTGAACCTCCGACTGACGAGGCCAACGTACRGAAGACCAAAGATAAGAAGCAAAAAGACCCGAACGTGACATCGGGTCTCTGTGAAAATCATGTTGAAAACACCGAAGCTCCTCAGGAAACAGAACTGAGTTTCACCAAAATAAAACACAAGAAGAAGAAACACCCTGCTTCTGCTGGAGAAGATGTGAAGTTCTGTAACGACGCTGTGACAAATACAGATTCAACAAGTCAGACGAAGACGATGGAGAGGTCAGACGCTGCTGAGGAAGATGAACGGAAAGAGGAGCGAGCTCCTGAAATACAGACCAAAAGGAAGAAGAAGAAAGCTGCTTGTGCTAGCCACGATGCTACAAAAACAGATTCACCAAGTCAAAAGAAGAAAAAGAAGATGGTGGATATGTCAGATGCTGCTGAGGAAGATGGAGAAGATGTTAATAAACAGAAAGAGGAGCTAGCGCCTGAACTAAAAGCCAAAAAGAAGAAACAGAAAACTAACTGTGTAGCCAGGCGCGAGGACACTGCAGCGCAGGACAGTTATTCTGCGGTGGTGCGGAAAAAGGAAAAACAAGCGACGTCTTCCTTCCTCGCTGCTGATGAAGAGGAAAATGGCGCAGAGGAACGACGTGAGTCTTCACAGTCTGCAGCTAGAACGCTCCAACTCAGCGCCGCCGATTTAGCCACCAATTCAGCCGAAAATGCAGAAAGTTCAGAAAGGTTAAAAGACAAGATTAAGACCAAAAAGAAGAAGAAAAAGAGGTGGGCTGTGCAGGAGAGTGTGGGAGGAGAGACGGGATTTAAGGAACCGATGGGCAGGCCGGCTGTYGAGGTGAAGAAGAAGAGGAAGTGTGAGAGAAGCAACAGCGAGTTGACGAGTTCATCAGCTTTAAGTTTGGAAGAATCACAAACTGATGCAGATGTTCCTCTGAAGAAGAAGAAGAAAGATAAGATTCCAGCAGCTGGCAGAGAGGATGATGGATCAGAACCATCAACACARTTAAGTTCAGATTCACAGAAAAAGACGTTTAAAAATAAAGTAGAAAAAGCTGGAAATAAACTTTCACTGGCAGAGAAATCATCTGTTAAACCTGCGGAGTCAGAAGCATGTAACACCAAACAAAGAGGGAAAACTGAGTTTAATCTGGACTCTAAAGCACCGCCTCTCAGTCTGAAACGAAAAAACAACAAAAAGAGGAAACTTTATCACGCTAGTCTGGATTTTCTTTCAGACATTTAATTGGAAGCTGCTGCCTGAGGCGGGACTTTTAACCAGTAACATGAAGTGAGAAACAAGGTTTTCTGTGTTTTTCTACGTTTCTGCTTTGCATCAAAGCAATTTTACAAACGTGAAACCGGAGGAGTCAAGTTTAAAGTGTTAAAGTTTTAGAAAGTTTTGAATCCCTGTACAGAAGTTGAGTTTTTAAAGTGTGCTTTCTGTGAATAGTTGGTTTATTCTGCTTTCAGTTTGCCTTTTTTATTTGGACTCATCAGAGGTGGGAAGTCCGTTTCAGAAGAGAAGTATGGCAAACTAGTTTATCATATAATAATCTGGATTATAAAAGCAAATATTTATTTTGCACTGAGGTTAATTAAGAGTTCTGTTTTTCCTATTTGCAAATTATATTAAAGATACAGTATTGTAAGCATCTTTATTTTATTTGTAAAAAAAAAATGAAATTGTGTACAAGCAGAAAGAAATGTGAGTTCTGAAGCCTGAATTTCCAAAGTGACAAAAATCCAATTATGTTTCCCCAAATGGAGAATTTTGACTCTGAAAGTTGGAGATTCCAGATTAAACCTGATCTCAAAATCCTGTTTTGAGCTTGAAAATGTGTGATAGWTTTACCAATAAATTATATTTTCACTTTTTGACTGATCAATGTGTTTTTAAATAATTTTTAGTCTGAATGCTGTTGGTGTGCAGTACCTKGATGGTGATGGAGGTTCTGTTAGGATCATGTTCTGTGAGTTCTGAAGTGCCTCCAGGTTCCCAGGACGTGTCAGACAGGCCTTAGTTTGAGCACCTAGAGACCTCTGATGTGATCAGTAACACAGGAGCACCTTAAGGGAGTCAGAGTACAGGGAAATTAAGAAGTTTACAAGAAAAGTGGGGTAAGAGGTCAGGCATCAGTGCTAACCACTGATCCACCGTGCTGCCYATGTTAAAACAGCTGGGTTAGGGATGGAAGCAAGAGCACAAGCTCTTTCTCCAACAGGCTCATTCAGCTCATCTGTTGTAAAGAACACGGGATCATTCATAACTTTATATTTCTAAAATAAGTTTACTATAATGTAACTGAAAGCTATTTCTGATTGTTATATTGTTGTGAATATTATTTTATGTTTGCTGCTATGAAAAACA